CTCCATGTACAGAATGAGTCTTGTTTCAAGCTCACAAACTCAGGTGGGGGATGGTCTTCAAAACTTCATGGAAAATGCATATCTTGAAGGAAAAAATAATCCCTGTGGATTTCAAAAAATTTTTTGCACCAAAACAAACTTGTACTGTCTTTGCATGAACTTTTTGAAGTATTTTCTTATGTCTCTGGAGAAGTCATTGACTCTCTCACCTTCATATGTGTCATCTATCAAAGGATGAAATCCAGTTAGGTTTTTTCTAGGGTTTTGTCCTTCTCTGACACCCTCCCTAATTCTCAAATGACTATTAAACATAACAAAGCACTTGGTCCAGAGGTCAGAGTTAAACTAAGCTGGACCAATTTGGTTCCTTTTCTTTGAACAGCAGGGCTAGGAAGCTGGACTACAACATTTGTAGCCACATTCTACCAGGTGACTGTGAGGCAGAGTCTCTACTAGGAGACAAAGATGGAGCAAATGTTCAGTAAGAGGAGGGCAGTTTGAGAGGGCTCCGGGATTCTGATTACAATGAATTCCTGGCATCAATTTCTGGTCTTAAACTTCATAAGATACACCAATATTCCTTGAATAAATTATTTGCAAAGTTTAAGCTGTCTGTTGGAGGTTACTGTTTCTTGTCACCCAGTAAATCCCAATCAATATATACAGAATAGAGGACTTCAAATTGTTTAGTTTGTTGTTAGATTGCAAACAAATTTTCTTTTTTTTTTGAGACTTTTTTGCTATTGGGCGCGTGTGCTCTCCAGAAAGACAGAGAGACAGAAAGTGAGAAATCACTCCCCAGGGGGGATGGCCACGCCACAATCCCTTCTCCTCCATTCCCCTCTTGGGATCTTGGGCACACACACACACGCACCCGGCGTGAGTTTAAGCCACTGGGTCTGGGACTTGAACTGCGGTCGGCTACATGAGAGTCCAGCAACATAGCCATTACACAAACTGCTGGTCCCGCAAACAAATATTCTGTCAAGGAGGTTCTTTGCTCATCTTTTCTTTAAGTTTTTATAAACTCTCACAATCATAGCACACTGGTGCTAGAACAAATTATTGTTATGTAGCCCCCTCATTATAAAGAGGAGGAGTGTTCCTTTCAGAGAAGTAGAGTGACAGGCCTAAAGTGCAAGAAGAGCCATTTAGCAAAACTCCTGGCACAGGAGGACAGATCTGGTTTCCATCCAGTTCTGAGGAAGACTAACTCTGTGAGATGATATATATAAAAAAAAATCCACATTCAAATATATTTGCGAACTGCTACATATCATATTGTCTCTTCTCAGAGATGGACATATGTGTTATCATTTAAAAAGGTCTTGAAAAGTCTCTCAGTAATGAAATCTATTTCGCTGTCCTCAACTCAACTTTTTCAAACACATTTGACCACATCATCCCTTTTGCTCATTTTGTTTTTGAACTGTAGTTGTAGAAAAAACTTTGGGAATAAACCCTGCTGTCTTTTCTCCCTCAGACAGGGGGATGCTTCCATAATTTGTGCAAAGCCTTTTCAGGTGCTTGGTCTTTAAACATAGGTGCTATGAGATGATTTATATATCTCCTAAATTCATAAGCTGAAGTTACTGGTTATCCTCAGTTACTCTGTTTGGAAACAGGGTCATTGCAGATGTAGTCAGCTAAGATGAGGTCACTGGGTTGGGCTCTAATCCAGTATGACTGGAAATTTACACACAGACTTAGACACAGGGAGAATGACTTGTAAGGATGAAGGCAGAGATTGGGTGATGTGTCTATATGCCAAGAAACACCAGTTTGCCAGCAAACTCTCAGAAGCCAGACATAGGATAGATTCTTCATATTTCTAAGAAATATGCCATCTTGATTTTGGACTTCTAGCCTTCAGAATTGTGAGGCAATAAGTTTTTCATGTCCTAGATACCTATTTGGGGGTATTTTGTTACAATGGTACTAGTAAACTGATATAATACACACTTTGCTGACCAAGCCAGTCTTCACACCATTAGTTAAAGGACCAAAGAGAAGCTCACCTGCATCCTGGTTATATAGACAGGCTTGTTCATTATTATCCAACTTGCTGTCTCATAGCAGGGTGGGATAGTCATCGACCCATCGTAAGTAATGAAACTTGAGGTCTCTGGATATAGTTCCTCTATATTAAGTCCCTGTAGTAAATACGCATCATCTAGAAAAGAAAACAAGAAAGATTTAATAATTAGGTTTGTTCATAATTTTAGATATTGCTTTTTTTTTTCCTTTTCAGATTCCAGAAGATTGTATCTGTCAGGACAGGCTGCAGTAACAAATAGACCTTCACCGCAAATCTCAATCATTCCTAACCACAAAGATTTATTTCTTGCTCACAAACATGTCCATTTCAGGTTGACTGAAGATTTCCCTCTATGTCATTGTGATCCATACTTTGGGGTCCAACCTTATAATGTTGCCACTATCTGGACATTTGTGAATCACAGTAACAGAAGGAAAAACAAGTACGGTAGTCCCCCCTCATCTGCAGTTCATTCTTTACATTTCAGTTGACTTAGGTCAACCAGACATTGAAAATATTAAATGGAAAATTCTAGAAGTGAACAATATATAAGCTTTAAACTGCACTATTTTGAGTAGTGTGATCAAATTTCATGTCATTCTGCTCCATCCTGCCTGAGATGTGAATTATGCTTATATCCTGCATATCCACCTAACATATTATCAGCTCATTTGTCACTTAGTAGCTATCTAGGGTTTATTTCAATGTAACTCCCTCGTAAGTCAAGGAGCATCTATATATCTAGGGTTCAGTACCATCTATGGTGTCAGGCAACTACTGGGGGGCTGGACTGTATCTCCCCAAGATAAGGGAGGATGACTGTACGTTGAAACATATGTTGGCTCTTAAGCTTCCATTCCAGAAATGGCACATGTCATTCCCATTTATATTTTGGTATCCAAAGAAGTCCATATGGCCAAGGCTGACATTAGGGATGCAAAAGTATGCATTTTTTTTTTCTGTAGGATGAGACATTGGCTATCAATGAACTGTGGTAATATGATTTATCAGAAACACTATTTGAAGAGCTATGTCCTTAGGTATGGTCCCCAAGACCCATAGGCATTATAGTCATAATAAGACGGAGAATTAAAGGTTTCAGAAGCAACTGAAAAGAGTCACCCAATCACCATTCTTACTTACTAAATTGCTTATTAAAAGAACATTATGAAAATATTTTTAGAAAGAAAAATAGTCAGTCAAATCCTGCTATGAGATTCAGTGGTTAAGTTCAACATCTGAGCTTATACTTTGTGGCTCTCTTCTCTGTCAGGCCTGTGTAGATAGCTTTTTTCTTCTTCTTCTTTTTTTTTTTTTCTTTTTTTCATAACTACTTGAAGTATTCATAGTCATATGTCTTTATGTCTACTATTAAATGTAGTTTTTCAGTTTAAAAATGATAAAAGTACACATCAGACTACATGGAAAAAAGCACACGAGAGAAAAAGATGGCAATAGCAAGTCCAATAATCTAAAATAATTACTATTAGCATTTTGATGTATTTCTTTCTGAATTATTTATTCAGTGCATTGGTTTTATTTTTATAAAGTTACAATGTGTTTGAGTTTTCAAATCCCAGTAAACTGCAATAATTTTTTTTACCTTCCATCTCTCCCCATGATCTCTCCTCCCTATTTTTTTTAATTGCTAGAGAGTATTTGCACTTGCTAAAAAGAGAGGTAAGGAGAGGAGGAAAAGAGAGAGGGGAGAGAGAGAGAGAGAGAGAGAACTCCAATGGGGTGTGATCATGCTGCAATTCTTTTCCCCTTATTTCTCCATCCCATCAGTATTTGGGGTATACATGCATATGTGCCCGGCAGGTTTTCTTCTTCTTTTTTTTGAGAGGTTTTTGTTACAGGGCATGTGTGTTCACCAGAGAGAGAGAGAGAGAGAGAGAGAAATCACCCCCCAGGGGGGATGGCCATGCCACAATCTCTTCTCCTCCTCCATTCCTCTCTCAGGATCTTGGGCAAACATGCACACGTGCCTGGCGTGAGTTTAAGCCACCAGGTTGGGGACTCAAACTGCGGTTGACTACATGGGAGTCCAGTGACATAGCCATTAAGCCAACTGCTGGGCCCGGTAGGTTTTAAAGCCACAGGAGTTAGGATTCAATCTTGGTTGGCCATATGAGATTCAACTTCCAATGCACAGAGCTCAAGAGCTGTGCTACAGGGACAGCCCCCTCCGCCCTTCTTTTGGCTTTCTTCTCCTTGCTTCCAAAACATCATACTTAGAATTTCTATTTTTATGGCCATTTCTTCTGTTTCTTTTGCTGGATGGCTTCTGATCTACCTACTTCATTCAATGAGGCAGTCTAAGCTTCTCTCTTTTCTGATGTGATGCTTTCATCCTAGGGTAGCTCATCTATATCCATATTTTCAGTTTCCCTCTATCCTCCAGAAATGTCAGATTTATGTCTCCAGACACTTCGTATTCCCTGATATATCATGAGACCCACCACTAGGGCCGATTCAGGAGGCCTGGAGAACACATGCCAGGGACCCAAAGCCTGGCTGGCAGAGGAATGAAATTGATGTCCCAAGTCCCATTGGATTCATGTATGTTCCCTCATTCATGTGTCCAACTTTCAGTGAGAAAGGACTAATTCTTTAGTGCTTGGTTCAGTGTTGTGCACACATAATGGTAGAGAAGACTTTCACACAGAGCTGATCCAGTGTGAAGTTCTAGCTGTATAGAATACTGTTTGCGTCCTCATTGATAATAACCTGAAGATTAGAAAGGCAAAACAACCTGCCATAGGCCACAGAGGTGGCTGGTGACTGCAGAGTGAGAACTGGAACTCAGCTCTCCTGACCTTCAAAACCAGGTCATGCATTCATTCACTAATCACTAAGTGCCTCTTCATGCTAGGCATAGGATTAGGCTCTGGGGATAGAGCAAACAATAAGAGAGATGCCATATCTACCCTCATTTTAGTTGAAGAGATAGAAGTGTAGCAAACATAGACACATGTAAACTATAGAGTCAAGGTAATAAATGCACCTTGACCCTGGCTGTATTATCTACTAATTCTGAGCATTATTATTGCTAATGCATTTTCCTGGGCAAAGACCCTCTCCTCTGCACTTCTTGCTCCAGCAATGGCTCATGTAACTTTCTCTGACAAGAAAGAACCAATTTTGTCAAAGGAAGTTGAATTCCAGTGTTTCTTTGCTTGTCAGTTAAATTATGAACAAATCAATTGATCCACTGGTTTGGAATAATGTAAATAAACCACCATTTGCCTGTGCCATATAAAAGTGCCTCTCCTGGCCTCCAACTCCCCAGCTGGGGTAATAGAACCCCTCCAGTGCTTAGTCCATGCAAAACCCAGGAGGAAGAGAGCTCTGTCAAGCTGGATTTGAAGGCTAATCCTAGGAGGAAGATCTTTCTTTCACTTTCCATTGAAATATTTCTGCCTTTCTATCAAAACACCAATGAACCGAGACAAGCCCAGTGGAGTAGCAATTGGAATATGAACAGGCTGCATCTGCGCTGTGATCTGCGTGGTCAGATGTGCACACAGCAATGTACCAACAGCGATGTACCAACAGGGTAAGTTTACATTGGGCATGCATCATTCATCTGCTTCTGTAGCCCCTAGTATGTGTCAAGCACTAAGCCACATAGAACCAAGTAGGACATAATTAGGTGAATACAGCAAGGAGTCCTAGAGACAGTGACACACATCTGCCCTGGGCTGTGAGAGAGGTTGTCAGCCTTCCTGGGGGAGGGACTCAGGAAAGGATGAACTGAGGGGCTGACTGGAATTGCATCTTGAACAACAGGAGGTGATCTGTGTGTGGCTGGCAGAACTTGTGATGTTAAGGGTACCGTAGACAGAGCAGTGGTACAGAAAGAGCTAAGGAAGCATAGAGAGCTGTGTGTGCTTGGGGATGGCTACAGTGTGGGGAAGATGCAGGGGGAGGGATAGCGTGAGAAATGAGGCTGGCAGGGTCAGCACAGGCCATGCCTGGAAGGTCCATCTCTGGGCCACTGGGAATATGGGTTTCATCCTGGAGGCAGTGCGGAGCCACTGAAGGGTTTGAAGCTGGGGGAGTAGCATGATCAGATTCGTACTTAATGAGGCTTGCTCTGATGGTGGTTTGGCCTGAAGATTAACATATTGAATGAGAGAAGGAAGCATTCGGCACATTTTTATTAAAGGTCAATGTGATTTGTTTAACCAAGCTTGCAGGAGGAGCATATTGGGTACTCTAGCATGCTGCTATTATTGTATTTTATTTTATTCGAGGTGGTGGAGAGGAGGGAAGGAAGGAGGCGGTAAAATAAGAGGCATTCCAGGCACGACTGGAGTAAAGAAAAGGAACATCTATATTTCTCTGAAACTATAATCAGCCTCTATGTTACATCCACATTGGAAGAAAGAGTGGGGAGGCAAGGAAAGGCCAGGACAAGAAGTAAAGGTTAGGCTTATAGATTTATCCAGCACAGTAGGGGGACAGCATGTTTCCAAAACTCCCGAGTGCTGATTCTCCAGACTCCTGCCAGCTGACTCCTTTTGGTTCGCTTCCTCTGTGAGATGCAGTGGTCATCAGAGAGCAGCTTATGCCCTCTTGAGAGTCTCATTCAGCTCTGTGCTCTTTCCATGACTCTTGTTCACAGTCATACCTTATCTTTTGCCTTTGCATTTCCTGCATTACAGAGTCTGGGAAAGCCCAGTCAATGTGATGAGTCTGAACTTTGCACTCAGACTTGAGTGCTAGAGCTGACTCCACTACTTGCTGTCTGTGTGACCTTTGACCCATAGGTGACCATCTCAGCCTCAGTTTCCACATCTGTAATATGCAGATGACTAGAGTATTTGGCTCAAAGGGTTGTTTGGAAGAACACATGGGATCATGCTTTCAAGTAGTTAGTACAGGGACTGACCCAGGAGGGTACTCAGCAGAGCTGGGTAGTATCAATGTCACCTTATTCCTACCTGCAGCGTCCTTGTCCAGCTTCCCTGCAGGAAGCACTGCTGTCCTCTCCAAGGGCTCCCAGGATGGCCCCATTTTGGTTGAATTGGTTTGTGTATTTACTGAACTGGTTTGCCAATTAGTTTACACATTTGACTGTCCCCACTAAGCTGTGAGCCTTCAGGGGAGGGATTTGCATGCTTAATATC